TGTTATTTGATACGGTAACATGAGTGCACGTTAGCAACGTCATTGTAACTTCTGTATTGTTAGCCAGGTACAGCTGAAAGGTCAATATAATAAAAACAATAAATATATATAAATGTATAAGCTATTTAGTCTAAACATTTATATTTTCGTGTTATAATTTATGTTCATTCTAGAATGAAAGAGGCATAACTTATATTTATTTCCTAATTTTTTATAGTGATTGGAAGATAGGTCAAACTTACTGAACCCATACAGAGATTAATTCCTGAAATTAACAAATAAAATATAGTTTTTTCTTAAGAAACATTTGATAACTATCTCGACATTATAAAAATTTTGAATGTGAAATTTCAAAATTCTTTGATTCATAAAAGTATTTTTAATCTTAAAATCAAAATTACGTTGCATGATAGATAGGCAACATGCAAAAAGAAAAAAGGCACAAGAAAAACATTGCTTTACAAACATTAAGACTTAATAAAAAAAATTGATATTTTGTATATGAAAGCATTGTAATCTGATAATCTGCCAAATTTTGTTAACATTCACTAACTAATTTAAAGTTAAAGCATGAAAACTATAACAAGCACAAAATGGTTACAAGGTTAGTCCCAGGGACCGAGCCCATGCTGAAAGAGTTAAGTCACAGATGGAGCAATTATGGATTTCTTTGTAATTGGACTGTTGAAATGAGCACCAGGAAACTGTGTTCGTTGAAAACTAGATGGATTATAGAAAGCACTTAGGAAAAAATAGTGTGAATTATCAGAATTACAAAAGAGACTTCTGAACTGGAAGCTACCACGCAAAACTATCTTCTAGATTCACAATCGCAGTATAGAACATGACCAGACATGTACGGTAACAAAGTACATATAGAACACGACCAGACATGCACAGTAACAAAGTACATATAGAACATGACCAGACATGTAAGGTAAGGAAGTACATATAGAACATGACCAGACATGTACGGTAAGGAAGTACATATAGAAAATGACCAGACATGTACGGTAAGGAAGTACATATAGAAAATGACCAGACATTTACGGTAATGAAGTACATATAGAACATGTAACAAAGTACATATAGAAGATGACCAGATATGTACGGTACCAAAGTACATATAGAACATGACCAGACACGTACGGTAACGAAGTACATATAGAACAATACCAGACATGTACTATAACAAAGTGGTGAGACTCCAAAATTTGTGTTAATATAGAACACGACGAGACATGTACTGTAACGAAGTGGTGAGACTCCAAAATTTGTGTTAATATAGAACACAACCATGTACTGTAACAAAGTGGTGAGGCTCCAAAATTTGTGTTAATATAATTTACCCAATATCCATACTCTTTATATCATAATACACAATATAGCAGGTGTAGTAAGGCTGAACCCAACTTACCTGGTTTCTTGTTTCTTTACATCATTTTCGGAGCTGCTGTCACTTTGGTGTTCAAACGGCGATTCACTTAATTGTAACGAAGCAGATTCAAGTCCAAGGTAGTAGTCAAGAAAACTATTTGTCCGTCTTTCAGCCGCACGGTCTCGGTTTTCGTTATCATTAGAATCCTTCTTTACATTGTCATTATCGTCCGATGATGTTGTAGCAGTGAAGACGTTTGGTGTCTGATCTCCAGCAGATGTAGTACTGGAAATCAAAACACAAAGATAAAACTACTCTACAAAGCATTAAGAAGAAAAGACAACAGAGCAGCTATGTGGAAAAATGCCGAACTTGCAGGAACAATGAGAAAAGATTACAACAGAGCTACGTGGATTGTTTCACACTACTCTAACAGATTATACGACTTGGCCAACACAACAAGACTGAAAAGAGATAAACATTTTGGTACCATTCCTGGGGCCTATTCAGGACTAATACTTGATATATGATATCATTACAAAAAAAGCTATTCATAAACACATGGTGTTCTTAATATTTGTACAAGTTACATAGTCATGCTGTTAATCCTGTTACAAGTATCATGTACTTGATGTACTTAATCTCACTACAAATTGCATATTCACACTGTTAATCCTGTTACAAGTATCATATACTTGATGTACTTAATCTCACTACAAGTTACATATTCATGTTGTTAATCTTGTTACAAGTATCATATACTTGATGTACTTAATCTCAATACAAGTTACATATTCATATTGTTAATCTTGTTACAAGTATCATATACTGGATATAGTTAATTAACTGCTAAATATGTATAAGTCAAAAGATTAAATTCAAGCCTCTTACATGTTATTTTCACTGTCTGGTTCTAACAAACGTTCATTTTCCAAGGCATCTGCTGGGTCAGTGTTAAGATCCACCCCCATGGATTCAATCTTTAGCTGAGCATAGCTTCGTCTGCTCTTTATCGAAGGTTTCCGATTGATCTTGCACACAGCATCCAAGCTATCATATAGTGGATCGTCTTCATCAGAGCCAGACTCACCTAAAAGCTCCTGGTTTCGGTTTTCATCAGCAGGGTCAAGATGATAGTTTGGATTTGAAAAACTCATTATGTTTTCTAAAAGACAAAAACAGTCATTACAAACATGATGATTTTTTTTTATAATTTCCACATAACTACACACAGATCACAAAGAAATAACTTAAATGAAACATGAAAACAACAAGTGATAACTTCCCCAACCTTATTCTCTCCTATAGCATTTCTAAATTTTAAGGTACGCATCTTGAGACCGACTTATGCAGCAATGATGTCAGACAAATAATAAAATAAAAGAATATTTTAAAAATTTAAATATAAAATAATGATCTAATATTTCACAAACCAAACAGAATAACAGGATATTTGAATCATCTGTCTGAAATCCAAGTAGCAAAAACAACAGATACATTATCTGAAACACGACTGTTACTAAACTAGCCAAAATAATATTAACACCATACAACAGCCATATAGCAATACTTAAACTGTCATTTAGAACTGTCTTACATTTAACAATATCCCATTGTACTGTCTTATATTTAACAATATCCCATGGTCACTTAGCACTGTCTTATATTTAACAATATCCCATGGTCACTTAGCACTGTCTTACACTTAACAATATCCCATTGTCACTTAGTACTGTCTTACACTTAACAATATCCCATTGTCACTTAGTACTGTCTTACATTTAACAATATCCCACTGTCATTTAGTACTGTTTTATATTTAACAGTATCCCACTGTCATTTAGTACTGTCTTATATTTAACAGTATCCCACTGTCATTTAGTACTGTCTTATATTTAACATATCCCACTGTCACTTTAGCACTGTCTTATATTTAACAATATCCCACTGTCACTTAGCACTGTCTTACACTTAACAATATCCCACTGTCACTTAGCACTGTCTTACACTTAACAATATCCCACTGTCATTTAGAACTGTCTTACACTTAACAATATCCCACTGTCATTTAGAACTGTCTTACACTTAACAGTATCCCATTGTCATTTAGAACTGTCTTACATTTAACAATATCCCACTGTCATTTAGTACTGCCTTATATTTAACAATATCCCATTGTAACAGCTATGTGTATAGGTGTGTGTCTTGTTCCCCTTGCCAGTCTAACTACTTTTATTTTTCCAAGCTTCTTGACCATTTATCTAATAGTCACTCTAGCTTCTTGACTGTTTATCTAATAGTCAGTCTAGCTTCTTGACCATTTATTTAATAGTCATTCTAGCTTCTTGACCATTTATCTAATAGTCATTCTAACTTCTTGACCATTTATCTAATAGTCAGTTTAGCTTCTTGGTTGTTTATCTAATAGTCAGTCTAGCTTCTTGGTTGTTTATCTAACAGTCAGTCTAGCTTCTTGGTTGTTTATCTAATAGTCAGTCTAGCTTGTTGATCGTTTATCTAATAGTCAGTCTAGCTTGTTGATCGTTTATCTAATAGTCAGTCTAGCTTGTTGATCGTTTATCTAATAGTCAGTCTAGCTTGTTGACCATTTATCTAATAGTCAGTCTAGCTTGTTGACCATTTATCTAATAGTCAGTCTAGCTTCTTGATTGTTTATCTAATAGTCTGTCTAGTGTCTTGGCTGTTTATTCCACAATCAGTTTAGCTTTTTGGCTGTTTATGTAATAGTCAGTCTTGTTTCTTGGCCATTTATCCCACAACCAGTTGAGCTTCTTGGCTGTTTATCTTACAACCAGTTGATTTTCTTGGCTGTTTATCCCACAATCAGTTTAGCTTCTTGATTGTTTATCTAATAGTTAGTGTAGTGTCTTGGCTGTTTATCTAATAGTCAGTCTAGTGTCTTGGCTGTTTATTCCACAATCAGTTTAGCTTCTTGGCTGTTTATCTAATAGTCAGACTTGTTTCTTGGCCATTTATCCCACAATCAGTCTAGCTTCTTAACTTTTTACCTGATTGTCAGTTTAGCTTCTTGGCTGTGTCTCCAATAGTAAGTTAAGCTATTTGGCAGTTTATCCCACAATTAGTCTAGTTTCATGACTGTTTATCCATCAAACAGTCTAGCTACTTTTACTTTGTATACCTGCATATCTTGTTCCACTTGTCAGTCTGGCTGATTTTATTTTTTCATAGCTCTTAAAAGTATACTCTCATGTTCCAAATAATTGTACCTGTACAATTATAAGTTTTGGAGAAATGTTCCACCCTGCATGATTATTTTTTTTGGCCATCGTTTAAAGAAAAACACAAAATTTAAATTCTTACTCTGACCTGTATAATAATTAAATTTGAAGTCTGAATTTTTCCACCCTTCACTATTATTAAATTCTTGATATTTTTCTACCCTACACTTTTCTTTGGAAGACAAGAGTAGGTGTGTGTAATAGTCACTCTAGCTTCTTGACCATTTATCTAATAGTCACTCTAGCTTCTTGACCATTTATCTAATAGTCAGTCAGATAAACAGTCAAGAAGCTAGACTGACTATTAGATAAACAGTAGAAGCTAGACTGACTATTAGATAAATGGCCTAGAAGCTAGACTGACTATTAGATAAATGGTCTAGAAGCTAGAGTGACTATTAGATAAACAGTCAAGAAGTAGCTTCTTGACCATTTATCTAATAGTCAGTCTAGCTTCTTGACCATTTATCCAATAGTCAGTCTAGCTTCTTGACCATTTATCTAATAGTCAGTCTAGCTTCTTGACCATTTATTTAGTAGTCAGTCTAGCTTCTTGACAATTTATCTAATAGTCACTCTAGCTTCTTGACCATTTATCTAATAGTCATTCTAGCTTCTTAACCATTTATCTAATAGTCAGTCTAGCTTCATGATTGTTTATCTAATAGCCAGTCTAGCATTTTGACCATTTATCTAATAGTCAGTCTAGCTTCTTGACCGTTTATCTAATAGTCAGTTTAGCTTCTTGACCATTTATCTAATAGTCAGTTTAGCTTCTTGACCATTTATCTAATAGTCAGTCTAGCTTCTTGACCATTTATCTAATAGTCAGTCTAGCTTCTTGACCATTTATTTAGTAGTCAGTCTAGCTTCTTGACCATTTATCTAATAGTCAGTCTAGCTTCTTGACCATTTATCTAATAGTCAGTCTAGCTTCTTGACCATTTATCTAATAGTCAGTCTAGCTTCTTGACCATTTATTTAGTAGTCAGTCTAGCTTCTAGGCCATTTATCTAATAGTCAGTCTAGAACTGACTATTAGATAAACGGTCAAGAAGCTAAGACTGACTATTAGATAAATGGTCAAAATGCTAGACTGGCTATTAGATAAATGGTCAAGAAGCTAGACTGACTATTAGATAAATGGTCAAGAAGCTAGACTGACTACTAAATAAATGGTCAAGAAGCTAGACTGACTATTAGATAAATGGTCAAGAAGCTAGACTGACTATTAGATAAATGGTCAAGAAGCTAGACTGACTATTAGATAAATTGTCAAGAA